AAAAAAACAACTATAAACCCGAGAGCTTGCTCGCCCAGCCAGACGAAGCTTGTAGCTCGGTTCGTTCGCTTTGCTGGCAGCAGCGAGGTAAATGAACCTTTTGAAGGTTCAACTTGCGTAGTAGGCGACGCCAGGCAGAGTCTCGTGTAAAACAAGTTTGTTACGTTCGCTTTGCCTTTGCCTCTGCTTTGCTTTTAGCTTTTGGCTTTTGGCGCTCATTTCTTTGCAATTTCACCGTTAACCAGGCAGGTGAAGGCACAGCCAGAGACATTTTATGTAACCAAAAAAAAGTATATATATATATATAATAATAAAGAGAAGCATCCAGCAAGTTGTCAAGCAGCTGCCGTTGCCTGCTGCTCTCTTTTTCGTCATTCCTTTAGTTTTAATACCCTTGCAGGGGAGTATTATCATTTTGGTCAGTGAAGGAATCATTTCTGACCCTATAAATCATATATGTTCTTGATCAGCATAAACAGGTGAATAGATCTAGCTATTTTCGGAAATTACAAACTTGCAAATTTTGTCCTAATTTTGTAATTTTAAAAAAAAATTGATAAAATTTTCAATTTTTCGTATTTTAAATTGAGTATGCAGATTTACTAATATTTTAAAAACAAACATGGTATAGATTTCCGAATTAAAATCAATGATATTTTAGCTTTGTTATGAGTTTTTTAAACTTTGATTTTAGCTAAAAATTGGTCATTTAAAAATATTGATATAAAGTATTCAAATATTTTAATCATATTTATGATGAATTGTCTGTTTAATTGAAAAATTCTATTACAAACTTCCAGGGTATTTCTACTTCGACTTTCCAAAGTTTCTAGTTTTATGTTGTGCTTTTTTTTTTTTTGGTGATGGATGACACGCGTGAAATGATTTCACTTATGAACGTCAACGGACAAGTGAGCAAGTAATTGTATAATAAGCGAGCAAAGAAGGGTTTAAAATGGACAAAAGACAAGAGCAGAAGTAATGAGAGTTTAAATTTAAGTCAAGAAATATTAAAAAGGTTGTTTAAGAGGTTGTTGCTAAGACCTTTACTTGGAAGCTAAACCCAAAAACACAGTTTTAGAACTATAAAAATCCACATCATTATCACAGTCTCAACTTGATTATTAGCATTTTGTACTTGAAGCTGCGACCGCCCACTCACTCACTCACTCACTCACTCACCCCGTCTCGAAGGCTCCTTGAACTGCTGCTCCGCAAAAGCAACTCCCACCAAAAGGCCCAGCCCCAAAAATTCACCCCCTCCCCTCCTCCCCTCCCTGTCCTGCCACTGAACCCCTTCCCACGACCCCGCTACAAGTCGAATCGTGTCTCCTTGTTCTCGCCGTCGTTGTCGCTCGTTTCATTTCGTGTAGTGTAGCCTCCAATATTATTTTAGTCAACAGCTTTGTGTCTGTGTGTAGCACTGGCATTTTAATGTATTTGTAATTGACCTGAATAAAGTTCAAAACACTCGCAGCGGCGAGGCAAGGCGAAATCTACATGCATGCTGTATGAGTGTGTGTGTGTGTGTGTGTGTAGCCTCAAAATAATAATGATTGCGACAACAACAAAACAGCAGCAACAACATTGTAGCTTATATATTTATGTGTGCCTCTGTACAAATAATGCTTGTGCCTTCGATAATTGACAATTGTTTGATTATTTTATGTGCTTTTGGGGACAACACACCAGCAGCAACAGCAACTAATTGCTGTTGTGCATGTCTGTTGCTGCGGTTATCTTTTCAAGTTAAAAACATATCTAATAGATATAAATCTATTTAATGAATAAATAAAAATAATACAAAACTATCTAGAGTTACTAATTACAATTTTGAGCTACTTTAAAGGCTTAAAAGAGATAAAAGTTAGCCTAAATTGTTTGTATCTATGAAAATAAAGTATCTTATGATGAGAAATATATTTAGAAATTCAAGAAAATTGGTAAAAATATTTTAAAATATTTAAATAAGGTTCTTATGGGCAGAATTGTATTTCAAATTTTGTTTTTAAAACCCCAAAATTCCAATATTTCTCAAATCCCTTTCAATACTTTTGACATTTTAGTCACTCTGCCTCCTCTAAGCTCCTTTTCAAGAGCTTTATCTTTGCAATTCCTCGAATCGTCGGCGCCTTTTGGCTGCCTCGTGTTGCATATTTACTTTCAATTTGCCTCTAACCTCGCGCTAATTTAAGTTCATTTCAATTAAAAGCCAGCATGTGTGTGTGTGTGTGTGTGTGCAAGTGCATGTGGCAGCTAATAAAGACAAGGCACAGGCGGCAAATGAATTTATATAGAAAATCTACATATAGCTAGAGGAAAACCTAAACAACATATTGTTGAATTTTATTTTTTCTTATTTTTACTTATTTATTTTGTTTGCTTTTTTGTTACTAATAAATTTTCAAGCAAATCCACAAAAATCAAATGCAAAACTAGAAACTTAGTTGGGGGAAGTCGAAGTGGATATACCCTTAAAGCTTGGTATTAATTTATAGAACACAAAATGTTAGAAAAAATTAAAATGGCTAGATTGACTTGTCTGTGGATGCTGATCAAGAATATATATGATTTATTGGGTCAAAAATAACTCATTTAATTAGTTACAATCTTCTGATTAAAATTATAATACCCTGCAAGGGTATAATGAGCAGTGAGTGTGCATTGTTCGCTGTTTACTATCACCAATAAACACACATACACACTCCCAGAGAGAGACACACACACACATTCGCCACCACCTTCACTGCCGCGCTGCTGCTGGCGTCGCTGCCTTTGGTGACCTAGTTTTGTTGCACGTCAGCGGCGGTCAATGAACTGAGCTCCCCGCTTTTTTTCTGTATTTTTTTTTTTTTTGCTTTTTGTGGGGGGCGCCGCTTGTGTGCGCTAAATTTCGGTTTCGTTTTCATTTCTTGCGTTATTTTTGTGTCTTTGCCATACCAAAAAAAATACAAAGAAAAAAAAAGAAAACAGTGAAGGAAAAACACCAACAAAATGGCGCCTATTACTATGGCAAAAGAAATTATGAAAGCAGCCGAAACGAGCCGAAAAAGAAAGTGTTTCGAAATGGCCGCCAATTATCTCAGGGTTTTTTTTTTTAACTAAAAGTGAAAGTAGTTTCTTTCGCTTTGGTTACAACAAAATGTTGTAAAATATGATTTCGTGGCGTTTTCTAGGTCAGCTGCTCTTGTTTTATAACTGTAAATTGTTCATCAGCAGCGGCAGCAGCAGCAGCTGAGCGCTTGTATTTTATTTTATTTATTTATTTCAGTGTGCGTTTTATTTTAATTTTCCTTGAAAGATAAGGCAAAACGCTACTGCTGCTGTCGGCGTCGCTTAAATAGCACACGGTCATTTTTATTATAAACAATTCGACATTTTTGTTTTGTGTTGCTTTTTTTGTTTTTCTCTGTGTTTTATTTTATTTTTTTCGATTTAATTTCATTTAATTTCATTGCTGTTGCCGAGTTCGAGTTTTTGCCTGTGTTTATTTGGTTGGCGGTCGAATTTTTGTTTCGGTTCACATGACTTATTTTTGGCACTAGCTTTGGGATACAGAACTAGTTCAAGGATTTGCTAAATTCAAAAAAATCGGTATTTGATGGCTAATAAATGATGGGATTTTTAGCAACAAATGATTGGACATCAGAGTAAACAAGGGCATTAAAATGGTAATAATTATTAATACTGCCAAAGTGGTCTTTTTGAGGGTAAAGGTAGAACGATTTTAATATTGGAAATCTTTATTAAAAACCAATATTTATTATTTAAAACGTTAACAAATAATGTTTTATATTATTTTATATATCATCTATTATTCAAATTGATAAATTTGATATATTTCCCCTAAAATGTTTTAGAAAACTATCATTTTATTTATTTTTGAGCTAAATACTCTTTGTAATAATTAATATTTTCTTCCATATTACTTTCCCATTGCCTCTAACACGCGCGCTCTATTTTCAAAACCCAAAAAAACCAAGAAAATACAAAATAAAAAATATCAAAATCTAATCCATCAATTACAACATCGATGGCAACAACAAATACTACATTTATTACACAAAGGCCGCGTCTGCGTGTTGCCTACAAAACAGTTTCTCTCCCACTGTATTTCTCCCTCTCCCTCTCTCTCGCTCTCTCGCACACACACAAACATGAACCACTTTCGTTTTCGTTTTCACTGCAAACAGCAAACATGGCCGCCTGGCCGAGAAGTCAATGAACGTGGAAAAGAGAGTGCATGAGAGAGAGAGAGAGTTGGAGTGTGTAGGACTGCTTGCTTGAGAGTAAGTAAGTGTGTGTGTGTGTGTGGCTTTCATAATCTCTTGCTGGCGCTATTTCCTGTAAATATTTTCCGGGCCTGTGAGCTTAATTTAAACAAATTATTACAAAACTCGAATATAATAACAAATGCAGTCAGCGTAACAAAGACAGAGGGAGAGAGAGATAGAGAGAGAGAGCAGGCAAGAGAGCGATGGCCTCGCTCTGCTGTCTCCATTATGGATTTAGGTTAAGTGCGTTCATTCAACTTTTAACACAATTTCGAAATGGCGCACACACTTCTTTGCTCTCGATTTATCATGCGGGTGTGCTCCTCTCGCCCTCTGCTGTCTCTGTTTCTGTTTTGTATTGTTTCTCCCTTTGTGTCGTTTCGTTGGGGAATTTGTTTAAACAAAATAGACAACTTTTACTTTGCCGTGAAATCCGCGCGCCAAGCTAAATGTTGCAATACAACTACGCACACACTCATACATGGAGCTGAAATTTCGTTCATGGCTGGTCATTGAACTCAACGAAACGAACTTCGTGTGGCGTTCGGCTGGGCTTCGTCTTCGCTTCGTGTCTCGTATTTGCTGCTAGCTAATATTTGTCTCTGAGCTTGATTTCATTTCATTTCCCTCCTCTCCCCACTCCCTGATTTTCGTCTAGATTTTTGCATAATTTGTTGTTGTTGTTTTTAATAACTAATAGAGGGATAACATATGTTTGAGACTCACCATCGCGACTCATGCCAACGGCAATGCACTTTTTCAGGCGGCAATATTGACAGCGATTGCGATTGATACGCAGAATGCTGCACTGTTGATTTTTGGTGCAGGGCCGATACTGGATCTTTTGCTGGATGGAGCGTCGAAAGAAGCCCTGAAATAATATACAAAATATAAATAAAAGAGATTAGTAAAGAATAAGCTATAAGAATATATAATTTTGAGATATTTTAGGGTTTTTTAAGCCATATTTCTGGGAAGATTTCAATATTTTGAACTATTTACTATACTATTTATAAGGAAATGATATTGGCCATGATTTGGGTTAAATTTGTCTTGATCCCTGCCCATTCCATTGTTTATATTTCTATATTCTATAGCATTAAATCCCCTATTAAACATACATCTGCATCTTCGGTGGCTGGTAGTGTTGCTGGTGTATTTCTTTCCACATTGTTGCTGCTGCTATTGCTCAGCGCCGTGTCCAGATTCTCATCGAACTTCTGGCACAGATAGTTCAGCTGCGAGGAGTCCAATCGCTGATGATGTTGCTCGCACAGTTCATCATCGCAACCCGAATCCTGAGCCTCCTCCATTTCGTCCAGCTGCTGCTCATCGCTGCTGCTGCCACTGTTGCAGGTGCAACAATTGCCCGCACTGGAGTTGCTCGAGTTGCTCATCAGCGAACAGTTGCTGTCAGAGCTATCCCTTCGCTGCTGCTGCTGCTGTAACTGTTGCTGCTGCTGCTGCTGTTGATGTTGCAGGTGATGTTGCTGCTGCTGCTGCTGCTGCTGAGACTGCTGGGATTGTTGTCGCAGGAGATTGGCGATCTCCTTGTGTGTTTGCGCGGAAAAGGGACTATCACAGTGCAGCTGCTTGATGTTGCCATTGGGCATAACAGTTGGCTTCACATCAAGTTGTTGCTCTTGATGCTGTTGCTGCTGTTGTTGCTCTTGGCTGGGGATGCTGGTGCTGGTGCTGGTGGTAGTGGTGGTCTGCTGCTGCTCCAGTTCCCGCTGCTTGAGCTCCCGCGCATATCGAATCTTTTTCCACGGACACTGATATTGCTCGTAGCTGCTGCTGCCACTATCATCTAGGGATGTGGCAGTTGCAGGGCAATCCTCATCGCTGTTGGGGCAGTCCTCATCGATACCCGATTCGCTGTCATTTTTGGCGCTCAGATCGGCACATGGCTTTGGTGTTGCAGGTTGTTGCGGCTGCTGTTGCTGCTGATGCTGCAGCAGCAACACAATCTGCTGCTGCTGCTGACTAATACTATTTGTTGTCTGCGTGTTTTTGCTGATGTTGCTATTGTTGGTGGTTGTCTTTACTAATGTTGCAGGTGTTTGCTGTTGCTGTTGTACGATTGCTGCTTCGTTTTTCAGTCTTTTGCGTTGCGGTTGCTGTTGCTGCTGCTGTTGTTGCTGCTGCTGCTGTTGCAGGTAAATGATTTGTTTGGGCGTCTGCTGTTGCTTGCTGATGGGCGCTGATTCCAGCAACTTGACCAATGCCGAATGCTGCTGCTTTAGCTGCTGGCTCTTGACCTGCAGCTGCTGCTGCTGTTGCTGATGTTGCTGCTGCATTTGCTGCGGTGCAGCAACAATGTGCAAATTGCCGCCGCCATTGCCCGTCAGCAACACTATCGTTGTGGCATGTTGCTGCTGCGGCATCTGCTGTTGTTGCTGTTGCTGCTGCTGCTGTTGCTGCTGCTGCTCTTGCATTGCACAAACCATTTTAGAATTAGAGATTTTTGTTTGCTTTTTGGCTTCAGAATGACACTTGAACTCTCGATTGTTGGTTGCTCTACGATTTGCTAATAAGGAACATTGCACGCACTTCACTTAAATCTCACTTCACTGGCACCAACAAAAATAATTGCTATTATTTGCTATTGAACATGTGTTGCTGCTTGGCTATCTCTCTTTCTTTCGCTTGATTTATTCAAATTGTGATTATGAGTTTTCGCGCGCTTTTCTTGCTCGGTACAGTTTCCAACGACGAGCGATTTGCGAATGAAAGCAGCGCCAGTCCAGCAAGCAACACAAAGCTAGCCCGCAGCAAGCTTTGCCAGCCGAAGTTCGTTCGTGTCGCTTCGTGTTTCTCTCTAGAGAATCTCGCTCTCTCTCTCTCGCTCTCGCTCTCGCTCTCTTTGGTTGTTTCTTTCGTTTTGTGTGTGTTTTTGTTTTTGTGTGCCAACTGAGGACATTCACTCCAAAGCGTCGACAGCGAAGCCAGCGTCTAACAATAGATGTTGCTGCTGCTGCTGCTGCTGTTGCTGCTGCTGTTGCAGTGGGGGCGCCTGGTAAACAATTCTTGGAACACCCACGCGACACCCTGATTTCCCAGGTAGGTAGCCCAGGCACTGGCACAGCCATCTCAGGTAGCTGCTGCTGCCACTGCCACCTGACTGATCAGCTTTGTTTGATAACAACAGAGGGGCGTTCAGCTTTCAGCGTTCATGTGTTCGATTGTGTATTGTGTGTTTGCTCGTGTTCCGATATAAATGAGTGACAAATAAGATTAATTGATATGGGGGAGGGCGCTGTGACAGGCCTAAGAGGATCCCAGATCTGGAGCGATGGCTCCCGCACAGGCCCCCTATTTTGGGGTCACCAAAAGCGAGGGAATGTTGGGGGTGTGCTTTCCAGAAATTTCGTTATTTTTGGGTAGATTAATTCATAAATAATAATGAAAATGGAATAAAAGTATTACGAGTAAATACTTTTGAGGCCTTGCCAACTTGCAAGTTGGGAATTTTAGCTGGAATGCATTAGAATTCTCAACTAAAAGGTTGGCCAATTTTTGCAACACTCGTTACTATTTTTTTTTTATTAAAAAACAATCCTTTTTCTTAAAAATCTAGTCTACTTTCTAGCTGTTTTTTTATTATTATTTTTTTAACCAACAAATATGACCTAAATTTGAAGACAATCCCCGCCTAATTAACAAAATGCAAACAATTCGCTTGAGCAAATATTTTTCCCGCAATCAGTCTCTTAGTTCGATGAACTCCAGGCCGAGTGCGAGGCCAGATGATTTAATAAATGTATTAAATAATATTTTGTGCGCATTGTCATTTTGCTGTTTGGTTTTATTTATTTTTTTTGGGCCAAATAATGCACACACATAAGTCGCTCGCTCCATCTCTTTCCCACACTAGCTACGTAACCAAAAAGCCCCCCAAAACGACGTCAGCAGCGACGCGGCCAGCAAACGGCAACAGCGACAGCGACAGCGACAGCGACTGAGGCTGAGGCTGCGGTGGTTCAGTTCAACGAACCCGCCATTGTCGTGACCCACATTTCGGTCAGCCACCTTCGAATGTGGAGCTGCCGAGCGAGAGAGAGAGAGAGAGAGAGAGAGCTACATACGCAGCCGAACGCCACAAAAGCCGAACGCCAGCCCGAAGTCGAACGAGCGAGCGATAAGCAAGAGAGCGCTCCGCTCTCAATGCATTTTGCATGCAAATTCGCTTGCAAGCCAGATATGTTCTCTTGTTTCTTTGGCTTTACTGCTTTTTGTATTTTTTTTTTTGCTGCTGCAATTTTTTGAGCTGTGGCGGTCGGTCAACGACACAGAAACCTCAGGTGGGCTTGGCTTCAAATCGGGTAGGATGGGGCGACGGCGGTGGGGAGGGAGTGTCGAAATGCGTCCAAGGAAATCTTTGGCAATTAAAAAATTTGCACACATTTTTTTTAAAACCAAATTTTTACGATTTTTTTTTTTTGTGTGAGTTTGAAAAGCCGAGGTCATTGTACTCATTGGAGGAGTGGGGGAGGTGAGTGAGTCAAGAGATTTGCACTCATTTCAATGCTGCAGCAGCAGCAGCAGGGAACTTTCGGGAACAAAACAGCTGTCCCACTTCTCTCCCGCTCTTAACAGCTCCCACCTCTGCAGCTCTTGCTCCCTCTCTCGCTCTATCTCCCTCTCTCTGTGTGGCGCTCTTTCTCCCGTGGTGGCGTGGCCAAATGTGAATGAACTCTGGTGGCAAAGCGAATAACAAGTTTCAAAAGAAAGTGAGAGCACTTCCACAGAGCACACAAGCACACAGCAATATGGCTCCCTCTCTCTCTGTCCCCATATAGCCCTCTCTTCTTTTGGCGGTTCCCCACACTTTTTGATCCGCAACGTCATTTTATAATTCATTCTTTGTTTGTTAAATAATTTTCTTTTTCGGCTCTGCTTTTGGCACATTTGTTGGTAATATTGTTTTTAATTTCTTTTTGGGTTCTTTTCATGAATGATTCTATGCCGCGGGGGGGTTCTTTGTTTATTTCACCGCCTGTATATGCTTTTTTTTTATTGCAAAACCGCCTACCTGTTGGCACGATCGGTGCTCCAACTGCTTGACCAAGATTTCTGTTCTGTTTCGGTTCTTTTTGCATTCTTTGTTTTGCTTTCAGGTTTATTTTTTTTATTTTTTGGGGGGCTACCGTCGGAACTTGACACGAATTCGACCGATCGATCAATTGTCGATCGTCCCAAAAGAACTGTTGAGCAGGTCCAAAAATATTCATGGGAAAATCAATGGAAAGCATGGATAGATTTGTGTTAAATTTAGCTTAAATCGTACTATTTTATCTAGAAAGGAGACTTATTTGAATCCATATTTCTTTATAGTGTAGTATTACATTTTATAAAAGTCAAAGTTTAAAAAATCCGTTATTAGAAAATTTTATTATAAATTCTAGATTCTTTTCCGAAAATATACGGAAACTTCCCAACCGATCGCCACTTCTATTTTGCCTCTATTTTTTTCCTTTCTTTCTTTTTGTTCTCTTTGGTACGTCAACCGCCCACATAAACAAACAAAAAGAATAGAAGAATAAGACGAATAAGAAGACAGACAATACCTAATCTCCTGTCATAACGACGATCGTTTGTTGGGCTTTAAGAACTCTTCCCCTTTCTTTCCACACTCACTCGATGCGTCATCAATTAGCACGTGCCCCAGGTTTTTGGGACTCATTTTGGGGGTCTTCAAATCCGATCCGGAACTTTATGGCGCTTTAGCTTTTACAGTTCATTCAACGCTCATTCGTCAAGCTCGTCTTGAAGTTTATTCGACAGTTGCTAATAACTCAACGAAGGCATTACAGTCAAATTTCGTTAACTTGAATGATGGTGTTATATTTTGAGTGAGGGATTAAGTTGAAATAAAGGAAGGAATGAATAAATTAAAGAAAAATAAATTAAAATTATGTTTTTAAAGAAGTATTAGTATTTTTGGGAAACAAAATATTATTAAGCAATATAGAAACTTATAAAAAGTTAGGAAATTGCAAAAACCAATTGTAATTGCCCTGAAAAGTATGCTACAAAATTGTACAAATAATAAAATGGCTTCCTAATGCACTATCTAACATAATTTTGTAAGAAAATCCATTGTTTAGTATATTTTTTAACCCTTATTTAGATCGATTTTAAATATACATCAATTGCTGAGGTATTTCTGTATCAAAACGCCTAGGATTTTCCTCATAGAGATGTCCTACTGTACATAAATACTTGCTGCTGGTTGGCCAAAAAAAAAGTGTGATATGATGTGTAAATAAATTATGTTCGAATTACAACCGTGCGACCTGTGCCTGGCCGCCCATTCAGGTCAGAGGTCAACGCTCCCAGCCAAGCCACCAAGGATAATTCACCCCTCCCTCTCTCTCTTTCACTCTGCATTCCTTATGCTCCCCGCTCTCTTCTGTTTCTCTCTCATGTTTTCTGTAGTAAAAGCAACACGAGGTCAGCCGCACGTAGGCACACAAAAAAAGGAGGGAGCAGCAGTCGCACTCATCCTCTCCCACAACAAATCCTCCCCTCACCCACAGCACACACACACTCGCCATTTGGCCTCGCGCTCATTGACGTCACTTCTGCAGTCGCTGGCTCTGCCGCTGCGCTGCTTGGCTCAGTTCGTTCAACTCGATGCCTTCATGGTCGCCTTGCAATAATTGTTATTGTGCTATTGCTATTGCTATTGCTTTTGCTATTGCTTTTACTATTGCTTTTGCTATTGCTATTGCATTTGCATTTGCATTCGCTTGTCTTTGCTTGTTTGCTGTTAGCTTTACTTTTTCAAGGAACTTGGGAGAGTTAAGAACATTTTTAATATTAAAAAAGGCATTGAAAATATTTATAATTATTTTATTAATATTTAAAATATATTACACCCAATATTAAATCATTTTTTGATTTATTTTGCAATTATTTAAACAGAATTTGTAGTCTGGCAACTAATAAACAAAACCCTACAAGGTTTTAAAATAGTTTGTAATTATTTTTAAATAGAAAATCATAACCTAAACATTATTTAAAGAAGACAACATATTTTCGAGATATATAAAATCCATTTCTTTATTTCAATTCCTATAATTTATTTACCTAAATAATCACAACCTAAAATCAAATCCATAGTCCCTTTTTCCCCCCACATTAATCAACATAATTAAGGCATTTTCGGTACACAGATTAACTTCCATTTCTGTGGCTAACCATTATTTAATGCTTTTCCCACTCTAACTATCATATTGTGACCGCAAAAGCCACAAAACTAACGATGACAAATCAGAAATCAACACAACACATAAAACCAATATTGGAGGAGGTCCGGAATTGGAGCCACAAACACACAATAAAACGGAAATACCTTTCACATTTCACATTTTGTGTGCCAGGCGAAGGGCAAACTGCAGCTACAGAAAGAGACAGACCATATATAGAGAAAGAAAAGGATAGAGTGAGAGAGTGTGAGAAAGAGAGCGAGTGCAAGGGACATTGCGACAGCATCTGAGCTCCCGAAAAAGGCAGCAACAAAAGCAAAAAGCTCAAACCAAGGCGACCGACAATTGAGGACATTGCACTGCAATAACCTTAAAGAAAATGGTATCAACACTGTGAGAGCGAGAGAGAGAGAGGGAGCTGTGGGGAGCAAAAGAGAGCGCGCTCTCTTGACTTGGCGCTCAGCAAGCGAATTTTTTTTTTGC